CTTTCTGAACCTTGACGATGTTGCAAGTGAAGCTTATCGGTCTTCAAAAACATGCTTGATTGGGTTGTCCCATTTATGGTTCCGGAGGAAATTGACTCAGACGATAACGAGTGGTTAGCGCGTTCCATCTCCCAAAATCATTGTCATCAACTCGAATGATTCGGATGAAGACGGTTTGAGTGTCGACAATGAATGAAGTGGCCAATATATGCGTATGTGGTGCATATGTGAATGAGAATATGTGTAGTCCTTTTTTCATTAGGGATGGATTTGGTAACCTAGTTACGCAATGTTCTATATGAGCACCTCCCTTGTGCATGCTAGCTATATTTTGTTAATATTTTGGTATTCGACTCGTGATCGATAATGATAGAAATAGTCTGTCGGGATGTAATGCAATTGGTTCATTTCTGTAAATGTCCATATTTTGCGTCTTTAATGAAACATGTGTTCTCCTGTATGGTTGCCATGTTTACTGAAAAAGTACTTATTCGACAATGACAATGGATTTTATGGACTAAATAGGTTGATCGGGCTTATTTGGTTCATAGTTAAAAATGAACTTGGAAGCATTGAGAAATCAGAGTCTTTTTCAATTTCTTTTAGATGGAGTATGGTGTGTATATATATACTTTGTGTCTTTCCTTTCAGGGATGAAACGGACTCATTAGTTAAAGGCTTTCAGCCGTAAATTGTCTTTGAAACACTTCTTTTGAAGCTTAATGATTTTCGTGATGTTCTGTAATAGCATTCCCTGATTAATTTGTTGAAGTGGCCAAGGCAGCCAATGCGTAGAGCAAACAATGGTTCTTGTGAAATTAAACACGTCATCCCCAATCTAGAAATGATAATGGAATGTTATTCAAATGTTATGCTTGAAAATAACTGTGTAAGTTGAGAATGTGCTGGGGAACAGTGTACACATGCATGCATCGTAGTTTTGGATAAGTCAGGTTGTATAGTTTGTAAACATCTGTCGGGACAGACCGTTAAACCGTCGGATGTTCTACAGGGAATTCAACTGCAGGATTCGTGCTTTGGTTGCGATCATAAAAAATACTAATATCTGCAAACGAGAATGATAACGAAATTATAATATATGCATTCGTTTAGTATAAACGACATCGAGGGAAAGTTAACATACAATTTCAACCATTTTTGGACAAAAGCCTATTTAAATGGGTCGTGTTACAATGGGGTTCAAAAATGTGCTCCGATTATGACCGACTTTTCCAAAGCGAGTGCATTTCCTCAGTCATGTGGTGGACTCGTATTTGGATAGATGACGTCATGTGGGTGGTCTACTTGGAAGACGACGTACATTGGGTGGCAAAATAGGACTACTTATAATTTCATTCGAGATAATCCAGTCTACTTCACGTGTAACAGGATAGGTTACTTCGCTGTAGGCACCTCTCCAGTATTCCGATGTATAATATGGTGAGCATAAATCGTACAATGACTTACCTTGCAAGCAAGCAGCACGAGTTGCATGAATGCATGACATACAATTTAGTTCAAACTCACAACAAGTGCATGTGTTATAAAAAAAGTCTATGAAGTCCGTATCTTTGGATATTCCAACCTGTGTTAAGTTGTGTGTCAAGCCATGAGCTCGAAGCCTTGCATGTGCTTCAAACGTTGTCCATAACTCGTTCTCTATCCTCGATGACAGCACGACACTACATATGGTTGCATTGATTCGACGTTCGTAAAACCACTTCTGTACACTTTGCTGAATGTGTTTAACCAAGCACGTGATCGGCAATGAACAAGCGTGTCTCATCATTGAGTTCAAAGGTTTTGCGTTGTTATTTATCAAAATGTTGTACTGTTGGCCAAGGAAAAGTGCGAATGTGTTCGACCAAGCACGCGATCGGCAATGAACGGGTATGTCTCATCATTGAGATCAAAGGTCTTGCATTGTTATTTATCAAAAATGTTGTACCAATGGCCAAGGAATAGTGCTGGTGACCAAAATGAGAAACCTGTTCGCTCCAAGTACCTGTACGCTCTTTTACTTACCCTATGGATATGTCCCATAAGTCTTTCAAACTCTTCGACTCGATAAGTTATTACAGCTCATTTGAATAGAAATATTGCACTTGCGTTGCTGTACCGCTGGATTAAGTTGTTCTCCAGATGCCAGATACAGTACCCATGGTGAGACACATGAAATAGGTGAGCAATGGCATTAGAAATATTGTTTCTAGTCGGAAACAAAAATCAGTTCATCCGAGTCGCTTACAAGCTTTTTCAAGTTCGACAGAAACCATATCCACCATCTATTTGTTTCGATATCGACGATCCCCCATGCTAAGGGATAAATATATTTGTTGGCATCTTGGTTGGTTGCCAGCAGAAGTGTACCTTTGTATGGACCTTTCAAGTGACTACTGTCAATACAAATAATGGGCCTCAAGTAGTGCATGTAACCACAAATGCTTGTATTGAAAGCTAGAAGAAGTAATAAAACCTGTTACGGGAATCAACTTCGATGTGGGTTATTGTCCTCAGGTTACTCTTTCCTAGGACGTGACAATATGACAATAGTTTTTGAAAACTGTCCCGCGCTGTACCACGTAGCATATGTAAAGCAGCAACCTTCCCCTATGTACTTTTTGGTAACTTATTTTGACATTAAACTCGCGTTCCATGTCACGTGCAATAGCGGTAGGATCATATGATCGGTATGGATTATCCAATTTTCTCAAAATATGCTCGGCAATTACAGAAGTGTGGCATGTTGATGTGTGTTACAATGAAAATCTACGGAACATGTGTGCATATTGTTGAATTTACGGATCATGAATATCGCAGACTGCTTCACACTCGAAGCACGTAACATCCACTTGCAATTATCGTCCGCGCATACAACGGTTAATATTTTGAGGCTTGACCTACTGACCTTAAATTGGAACTTTTCTTGCAAAGTAAGTACACGAATTTTCGAGTACAACTCTTTTTTGTTGAAGAATATTTGTCATCCAACAAGATCGAATGTATTCATACTTGTAATCCATTGTTATGTATCCAAACTCCTAGAATGTAATGACATACCCTTGTCAACGTCTGTAATATTAGCAGCATCTGTACCATGTAACGGGTCGTCCAACATCTTATCTAATCGCACAGTCCCAACATCGAAAATTGGAGTATCGGCTGCATTATTGCTTGGGACATTAGGCTCATGATGGATATCATCGTGTTGTATGTTCTGGAGAACATCTGATGCTCCAAACGAACGGTCATGCAAATTTGTATCCTTCCACATGTCAACATTTGGTAGATCAGTTTCCAAAATAGTAACGCAGAGAGCAGTTTCCTTATGAACAGATATGTACCAAATTAGGTCTTCATCTTCATGTATTTCGGTTAGCTGTATATTCATGTTCGAGACTTTGAACTTCAATTCAATTTCGGCACGCGGATCAATAACACCAAGTTTGTCATTTAATTGTTTCAGAAGTTCGGCTAGGGTAATACTTTTCGGCACTAAAATGGAAATGGTTTTATCCTCTGTCCACTTCCATTCGTCATCCACGTAAATAAACTTTCTCCCATGCGACACGATGAATCTCAAATGATTGTTCATACCTAAATTATTGTGATTGCAACGATAATAATTCTGCACAATCAATATATCGATATGTAATAGCATGGAAGTGGCACTTTCGGATATTTAAACTCATGCAATAGCATTAAGTGAAATTAAGGGTGTCAGCTGTTTTCAACTGTCGATTTCGACAGTTCAAATGTCTAATTTGACAGTTTAACTGTCGAGAAGTTTCAGAGGTGTTTGGTACCTTGTTGGAAACATTAATGGTTATAATCTATTCTCAACTACAACAACTACATCATCACATTTTTTCAAAAATAAATGACTGAATGTTCCATTAAATATGGAATGTAATACTTAACATTTGCCTAAATCTTTTTGGAATTTCTTTTTTTTTGTATCTTTTACCTTCAAAAATATTTCAAAAATCAAGAACATCATGATTAATAAGAGTTTCAAAAGCATTCTTCATTTTGATGATCATGTTATTTTTAACATTTAAAAAAGAGTAAGTTATTCGATAAAAATATAAACAATTCGTAATAACTAGCCTCTCAAAATGTATGATGAATCCAATAGTAATGTCTTCTTGATCAAATAATGAAGAAGATGGATGAAGTGAGGATTTGTTGAAGAAGATATTTGTTTGATGTTAGAATATGGTTTTTTCCTTCTTTTATCCTTTTTTTAAAAGTAAATTCATATTATACAATAGAATATACATATATCCAATTATTATAATATATAAATTTAATACATCCATGATTATAATATATAAATTTAACTAATCAAATCATAACATTAATTGGATTGGAAAGCTAGCATTAAATGCTTCTAAAAAGGAGAAATGAAGAGCAAGTTGGACATTTCCCACAAAAAGTGACATTTTTGATAAAATTAGAGGCACATGCAAATTTTTTGTGCATTTTTTTTTTTTAAAAAAAGTGACATTTTTGATAATTTCCCCTTAGTTTGCTGAGGACGTTTGCAATATTTCTTGAGTACCACTTGTAAGAATTACGACCTATGCAGCACTTGTTTTATTTATGTAGCAGAAAAGTAACTACGTCGAAGCATCTTGGAAAAGTGGAATATTCAAGTCATGTGTAAATGTATGTACGTACTTAAACTAGAAATAGAAAGGAACGAAAACAAAGTCAAATTAGAAACCCAAAATTCTTGATTCTGGAAGCATTACGGAGAAATTTCTACGTAATGTGGCATTATGGAATATATATATATATATATATATATAGTTGACTGAGTCTTTTCTCTTGCGACTGCTTCTAGTTTCGGAATTTTCAAATGTGAAAATAAATGAAGCGGAGCCAAAGCTTACCATTCAAGTCTTGCTGAAAGCTCAGGCACTTAATTTCCTTCCCCTCACGCCTTAAGACCTTTACTATAAATAGCTAGCATATGAACGGCATTGCAATAATCACAAGTAGATTTTCACATTAAGTACAAAAATACATTTCGAGCTCTGAAAAAAAGGAGTTTGAGAGAGATGAACAGTTATGCAAGTATGATTGTGTTTGGTGCTATTTTTGCAGCTATGGTGCAGTACATAGGTGCTCAAACTGTGCATATTGTTGGAGATAGCGTAGGTTGGGACATACCTCCAAATAGCTCAGTCTCATATGCCAACTGGGTTTCTGGCAAAACCTTCATGGTCGGCGACATCTTGGGTAATTAATTCATTTTTGTTAATTTTATTAAGAAAAGTAGTCCAAAATCTCATATGCAAAGTATGATAATAGTAATTAGCACGGGTTGGCATTAATATGCCAATTTTTACATTTTCATTTTTGTAAGTATGCTCGTTTGTGCGATATGTACAATATTTTGATTCTAACACAATAAAAAGCATCTTATCCCTCCCCAAATATCATTATAATTCTAGCTGATTAGTACTCTACAACATTGTAATATTTCTGTATCCACACTTTCTCAGTGTTTAACTTCATGACCAACCAACACGACCTACTACAAGTACCAAAATCCTCCTATGATGCATGCAGCGACGACAATGCCATAGGCAGTGCCATCACAACTGGACCGGCAAACGTAACTCTCGACTCTGCAGGGGAGCACTACTACATTTGCACCTTCGGCAGCCACTGCCAAATGGGCCAGAAGCTAGCCATAACAGTCTCAGGCACGCCAGGAGCCAATCCGCCCACTTCCAGCCCACCAACCACCCCAACAACCCCTTCTCCCACCTCAACTCAGCCAGATGCATGTGCTCCTACTCCATCTTCAACTCCAAATGCTGGTAGACCTCCGGCTTCGGCAACATCCCCTGCTGGCACCCCTCCTCCACCATATGATTCTTCATCAATGTCTGTGTTCGCAAGTTTCTTGCCAGTTCTGCTGTCCATTGGAGCGGCCTTACTTATTTAAGGAATGAATAGGATGAGGACTATTCACAATAGACTATGATTCCATTTTTCCTGCATTTCAATTTTATATTTGTTATTCTGTTTGGATATTATTCAGTTTCTTTACTTTTGGGCACTAGTATAAGATCAATAAATTTATTGTGGACCTATCACTTTGTATTATTCAATAAAATTATTGTTTGTTTGCAATTATGCCTAACAATTCAATCCAATATTTAAAATTAATATGATAACTACCTTGTGAATTTACTTTATATTAAGAATTTCTGAATAATTTGAAATATAAATTTAGTGTTAACAACACATTTCGTACATTTCGTATGATCTACAACTTTTATTAATTGCTTAACTACATATTTTTATCAATTTTTATCAATTATATCAATTTGTTTTATTCAAAACTATCAAACAGTCCCCAATACTAATTCTTATAGTTAAAAACTGTCAAACAACCCCTTAAATTAAACGCCTTATGAATGTGATGTTCCATTTTGTTGTCTCGTTAGCAGCCGAACCAATAAAAAATTACACGTGTACCATATATATACACATCAGTAAAATGACATAAGCTTTCAACTTGTGTTTTCAAATAACGTGTGTGCTTGGTCCGGATAAAAATGAGATTTTTAGCTTATTCTACTATTTAATAAACAGTGCAAGTGGAGCGGAAGATAGCACAGTGGAGACAAGATCCCAACTAAATCATAAAATAAACTACCATTTCATCTATCATAGTCGATTCGATTAAGATGATTAAGAGCATTAACTGTTGCTAGAAAATATGGATCGTGGATCGTCCAAATGGGATGGACCAACTCATGAGATATTAACAGAATTAGAGGGAGTAGTTTGAACTTGAAATTCAAACTTACAACTCCTTATAACCACCCCTAACTCCCTTACAACCTCCAATAGTTATTGTCTAGAAATAAAGAGGGAAAATACGGCAAAAAAATGGTGAAATTTGTATTGAAAATATCACTAAAATTGAAAGGCACCTAAGAACACTATTTTGGCATAAAAAATCACCAAATTTGGCACTTGGGTTATGATTAATAATCCCGTTTTTTTATCGGGATCGGGATTAGGACCATTGAAGTACAAAAAATTATATATTTTGGATCTTTGAGATACAAGATGATTCACCACACAAAGATTTTTTAATTCATTCTTTATCTGAATTTTTACTCCACTTTCGAAAAATCTAAATTTGTACAATTTCTTCAACTTATGAAAATCAGAAGCACAAATGAAATACGTGAATCAATCTATAAATGTAATGAAAAATAAATTCTTACTGGATTGACTATTCTTTGATTACCAATAATTATATAGTCTATTGGGTAGAATGAATAGAATATTGCTGATTATGGTGAGGCTTAAGATAATGTAGTTTAATTTGCGTGTTTTATTTTTGGAAAGAGTGTTGGTTAAGTGCAACCTATCATTTAATGGAGTTTTTTTCAATGTAAGTACCTTCAGAATATATAAACTTTGGACATATAGATAACCAAATATGGATTGTCATAGATTCATAGTAGGCTATGTAAGTTCTTGATAATGAGTTTGAGAAAAAGAGTCTATTAAAAACGAGATGTATATCTATGAGATACACATTACAGTCTAAAGGGTACTTGTTCATAAGTGAAATTTTGGGTGGATATCGAATTACAAGATGTGATATTTGACATTTCTCCTAATAAGAGAGAAAACTTTGAAGAATATTATTCAAATTAAAATTATGAATATTGATGAATCAGTTTTGACTACAAATGAGTTTAACAAAAAAGAAAAAAAAGAAAAAAGTACAGTGCCTCCTTAACTTTATTGATAAGCCCTCATTTATGGCAAAGTAAAATCGTGGTTACAAATATTTGAAGTAATAAAGCTCAAAACAACACAATCAATGAAATCGAAATGAAGTACAACCACTAGAATCTTAAGCAAAACAAGCAATCATAGTCTTAGTGAAGTCTCTATTATAAGTAGAAAATTGAGAGTACCCAGCTATACCCATCTTGGACAAAGGGTCAACAACCAAACTCGCCTCTCTAAAAACATGGGTGACTTTTAAATCAATGAAGTCTGCAGATCAACAATGTCCTCCCAAACATGTTGAAGAGACCAAGGAATAATACCCAGCCTATTAAACCAATGACAAACTACTTGAGAATCGATTTCAACCCATACCGATGAAACCCCCAGAAGATAACAATAATACAAACCCAGTTTCAAATCCATTGCTTCCACAATGGAATTAGTAGCCACCCAAAAGAATGAGTGAAGCCAAAAACAAATTGTTGTTCCAAATCTCTAAGCACCGCACCATAACCAGCTCTACTAGAATTGCCACAACTAGAACCATCAATATTAAGTTTAAGAATACCACAAGGGGGATGGTACCCTCAAACAAGGAGATGGTTTTAGTAGTCAAAGGAGTTTTAGCCATACCAAGGCAATAGAAGTAGCATGTGATGGACGGAGAAATGGACTTAATTCAACTAACTAGAGTTTTACTTTGTAGCAAATTTTATCACCGTTGACCAAACCTCCATTGTATCTAGCCTCATTGAGTGCAAGCCAAAGCTCCCAAGCAATTAGTGCGGAGGTTAAAAGAGCAAGTTGGTTAAGTTGCGAAGAACCATCAAATTGGTGCAACCAATTAACAAGAACCGCATGCCATGAATTAGCAAAAACAATTTGAGCCCCAAAAATGTTAGGAAAATGAGTCCAAGCACAACTTCTAATAACACCATCCATTGGTATTATACCATACCAAACTCACCAAAAGAAAACTGAGATTTTCACCAAGAGCAAATTATTCCAAATCAATTTGAAGAGATGAAGTTTGTCCTCGGTCTCATGTAAAAGATTCTAAGCCGTATTAGTAGAGAACACTAAGCCGTATTAGTAGAGAACAATCCTGATGAAGTTGGACACCAAATAAGTTTATCCGGCACTTGCTTTAAGCGAATAGCCAAAGTATTCATGTAAGTCCCCAAATTGTCGTCCCCGAGTCTATGAAGGAGATCAATATTCCAAGCATCCTCTACACAAACATCTTTCAATATTAACCTTGGCTCATTAACCAACCAGATTTGGTCATATAGAGATACAAAACCTGACCAGTTTGCATACAAAATGAGTTATTCCCTTCGGCGACCCTCCACCTACTTTAGTCGTGAATAAAAGGAAAACGTACACTTAAATTACGCTAATAGAGAGATGAACCAAGACCAAGTGAGTAACAGCTCATGTTAAAATTTACAATCAAATATTTATGCCGTGTGAATGAAGCCCATAAAGAATCGCTTGTTAAAACTCTCCATGGCATTATACATTGGAGTGAGTCAAAAACATCAAATAAGCTCTGGATACCCAATCCCCTTTCATCAATAGGAAAACGGATTTTCTTCCAAGCAATCCAATGATATTTGTACTTTCCTGCATTATCACCCCAAAAAAAATTAGCAAAGAGCTGATGAAGTTCACGAACCACTTTATTTTGGGTGTATCACTGATATTAAATAGATAGGGATAGAGGCTAACACCGATCAAAGAAGAGTAAATTTACCTCCCCTAGAAAAAAGGCCTGCAACCTTCTCACGAACTTTGTCAACCATCAAAGCAAATAACGAAGAAGTGCAATGACCATAAAATAGAGGGGCCCCTAAATAAATTAAGGAAGAGAGCTCTCTCGAAAGTTAGTAAGAGAAGTAATAATCCTCCAACGAGAAAATATTTTTTCTTCAAACCATGAAAGAGGTTTTCTGAGTATTCATGACCTGACTAGAAACATATTCATAAGAATGTAAGAATTCCATCAACACCTTGAGAGAGCCTTGAGACCCATTAGTGAACACTAGAAAATCATCACCGTAAAATAGATGTGAAACCAGTTTTCAAGAACCTGATGAGGAAATGTTTTTTCTTCCCTTAATAAATTCTAGAATCCCCTTGATAAATGCTCCTCACTCAAAATGAACAATAAAGGAGATAGAGGATTCCCTTATCGAGGACCCTGAGAAGATGCAAAGAAACCAACTTGTTCACCAATAATTTTTACTGAAAATTTAATGGAAGAAATAGCATTACGAATAAGAGAGATCCAACTATCAACAAAACCAAATGCTCTCAAAATAGCCAACAAGTAGTCCCATTCCACACGATTAAAAGCCTTAGCCATACATGAGTGCTTGCTTAAATGTTGGGCTAATTCCTGAGCTAGAGCAATGTTTTCCGAAATCAAATGACTCGCAACAAAGCCACCTTGATTCAAAGAAATAATTCTAGGAAGCACCGCAGACAAACGATTGGCCATAATCATGGCAATAATTTTGTAATGCACTTGACAAATACTTATATGCCTAATATAAAATAAATAAATAAATTGTTAGGCTTGTCTTTCTTTGGGATAGCGAGATGATGGAGTACCCAATCCATCTGAAAAAAGAGCCCCTGCAAAAAATTCACGGACTGCTGTAATAAGATCATCAGAAATAATAGTCTAAGCATGAATATATAAGGATGAAGAAAAGCCATCAGGACCTTGTGCCGAATTCTCAAGAATGCCTTTAACAGCATAATATTCTTCATGTTTCGAAACCACAGAACGGAGTATATCGTTATCCTCACTATTAACTAAGCTAGGTGCAAGAGAGAGCATGGGAGATAAATCACGACCACTCTCCATTTCACTAGTCAGATGGCTTTTAAAAAAAAATCAGCAGCTGGTCCTATAATTTATTGTGTCTGTGAGATTACTAGAAGGACCTAAATTTTACTAACATGCATTTTTTGATGATTTTGATGGGCCATTGAATGAAAAAATGTAGTATTATGATCACCCTTATTATGCCATTTGACCTAACTTTATTGCTTTCTATAGATCTCTTCTTGAAAAAGTTGATGGTCATAAGTACGTTTTAACTCTGCGAGTTCCTTAGCAATTGAGGCGTCCAAAATCAGCTGATTTTCATGAAAAAGAATCTTATCACTAGTGTCATTAAGTTGCTAGAAAATATCACCAAACACCACTTTGTTCTAGCACTTAAGATCCCCTTGAGCCTTTTAAGCTTAAAAGCCAGCTATTGCAAACCGCTTAAATGACAATCTCAATTTCAAGATTCAGCAATCACGTGATGAAATAAAGGATGTTGAAGCCACATACACTAAAAATGAAAAGAAGAAGGTAAGCTGAGCTGAGGATCAACCAACTGGAAGAGCAACAGAGCATGATCTGAATGAAATCTCTCTACTATTAGGGAATTGATCAAACTAAGTGAAAACTCTAGAATGCTCTGATACCACTTGAAAAGTCACCTAGAACGCTATGGAACGCTAGAAAGTTCGTTTAACGCGATACAATGTCAAATTTAAAATTTTAGCGTTACCAATTTTACATTCTAGATTACAATTTAACTAATTTGACCTTATGTGCAGAATTAATCTAACTAAAGTAACGAGTTACTTTAATTAGTTGTCTAGGTGGTTAAACGTACAAGCACAGTTAATCCTATGTTGGATTGTCGGTTTGCAATATGTAAAATAAACAAATCAACACAATTCACAGTTTGTTAAAGGAGAAACCCAATGTGGAAAACTCTCCGGGACCAAGCCAGTGATATCCATTATACCAATTCAGCATGTACAAGTTATACCAAACTCCATATTCAATTGAGTCCCTATGACACGGCCCGTCCCGATTCAACCTATTTGACTCGACACGTGTCGTGAGCCGATGGTAGATACCAGCTAAATGTCGGACCCACCACCAATGCAAACTTGACCTACTTTGACTGTGACATATTTCTATTAAAATTTTGACCGAGTTTCTCCTTAAACATGGAAAAAACCAACCTAAAAAATCAACAAAACCTCAAATAGACATTCAAACCAAAAGTTTTGGAAACCACCACTTCAACTAATACCACCACGACTAAAACAAAATACAACTAAACTCGATTGAGTACTTCTACATCAGCATCATGTCTACAAACAAGCATTACATCAATTATAAACCCTTCTACAAAATGCACATCAAACAAAAGATTAGACAGTATTTAGTAAACATGAGTCCCCAACTATACATTACATACTAAGAAATGATCTCTTTCACTTCAGCATGCTTTTCCAAGTATCTCAAAATCAACGGTCTCCTGATAGGAAAAATATGACAAAATATATAAGTTTGTAACTCAGTGAGCGGATAGTTTGCAAATAAGTAAACTTTTCCATTTATGCACACTTTCTAAAAATTATAACTTTATTAAATCTTTGAGAAATTCGGAATCTAGTACACTTTAAAAACTAAACATGATCGTATCATAAAATTCTTTGTTCTTAATTCTAGAAAAGCAACTGGATAACATAATGACTATAAATAATCTGATATCCATGAAAATCTATGAAATATTGCTGCTGCTCAATACTATAAGCTGAAAGCTTTATTCTGAAAACTGAATTAATTGAATTTTATAATTTGAAAACTGATAAGCTGTAGAAATACTAAAAAATCACACCAGAAAGGTACCCTATAATTCAGCTTTACTCATGTACAGAGTAATCTCGATGTACAAGGCAAGTTCATTCACATCTGATAATCTGATAATACATTATGGAAACACATTCACAATAGTGCAGAGCGGGTAAAATCACCATAACTGATCATATACTGTGGAAACACATTCACACCAGTGCAGATTAGGGTAAAATCACCTAGGTACTTTCTGATGGTTTTAAAAATAACTTTAATTATACTAAAATATTTAATACTCATATAACATGCTAATCAAATAATTTAAATGAACTGAATCAAACATTAAAAAGAACAACTGATTATAAATCCACTTTATTATGAAAATCATGCTATAAAATCAACTGTATGAAATAATAATTTTTCTGAACTAATATAAATTTTATAAATACTAATTTCTGAAAAATAAGTTTATATCCACTCACAAAGTATGAGCTACAAGCTAGACTGCCTGATAAACGTTTTCAATCTCCTAGTCACCATCTGAAATACGATATTAATAACCAATTTATCCACTATCAAAACAAGAAACCTTTAATATCTAATGACAGTACTTAAATTAAATTTCTCGATACTTGAATAAGTTTCCTAACTTTTCCTTTGATCCATTGGTACTAATTACACTTCCTAATCCATGATTAATAACTATTTCATCAACATAATCTTCATTCCATGCATTACTGTGACAACCCACTTCATTCTAGTGACAACTAGTTGCTATAATTCAACCAATTAAAATTTTCTCTTGTTCCATAAATTCATACTTCCAAATAATTATTTCCAAATCACCATCATTTCCACAAATACTACTTAATCCAAAAATCCCAAATGAAATTTCTAGGGTTTGCTAAAAATAATATTCCTAACCTTGTTAAAATTGGAAATGAAATAATCCCCAAGCTTGAGCTCCAATTCGTACTTATCTCACCTAAATTTGAACATTTTTACTACAAGTTAAAACTTTAGAATTTTAACATAAATCATACTTTATCACTTGAAACAAATGGAAAAATTAAACCCAAATTTGAAGAGATTAACCTTACCTCGCTTCTTCTTCTTCTTCTTCTTCTTCCCTTTTCTTCTTTTCTTCATTCTTTCTCTTTTTTCTTCCCCTTTTCCTTAGTTTTTCTCTCTTTCTAGGCCTTTTCAACTCTCTGCCCCCTTTTTGTAGTGTGTGAGTGTGTGTTTTGGGAGAAAATGGTCAATTCTAGTAATATAAAGGTCCACTGGCTCAAAATTGTAAAGGAAGTCCTTCAACTCCCTTTTCATATCACATTTAATCCTGAACTTCCAAAAATGTATAAGTAAATTCCCAACTTTAAATTGTATCAAATTTAATCCTCATATATTGCCAATTATAAAATAAACCCCAATAAAATATTTAATTTCACTTTAGTCCTTAATTGACTTTGACCTTGACTAGTCAACATTTGAATTTTTGACTATAAAAATTAAGTTGTAACACCCTAACTTTTACAAACATACAATTACACCCATTTTGTCTACAGAATTGCCAATTACACTTATAGACCTAACAAACTCCTCATTTGGCATTCTATGACAAAATCATACACAATAAGTCAAAATATAAGTCAGGACTCTAGACACAATCTATTCTACCCAATAAACTCAATCACTGAGTCTTGCATTCCTTGTACCTGTTTCCTGAAATCTACAAACCCATATACCCAGTATAAAAGCATGTGACACATGAAATATAAACATTAAAGCATTCAATCATAAACACATCAACATGCTAGTTTGAGACGTGATATTGATGCCAATCAAAACACCAACCTCATTAAACATCAAAGCTCAAACAGATGGATGTGATATGAAATGCAATGCAACGCTCCCGCTTACTATGAACTCTTATAAATGTAATACAGTAAATTAATGTATATATGTCTCTCCCTAACAAATCTTAGACATAGCAATGCAAAATGCATGTAATGTCAATCAGTGAAATCACGTGCACATGCAAATGCAATAGCTCTCCTCCTATGTGAATACTCTTTTGCCTGTTTTTCTCCCCCTCAATTAGCTCTCCCCCTATGTGTATACTCGTTTACATGTTTTTCTCTCCTCAGCTACACTTTTCTCTCCCCCTTTTTGTCACAAATGTTGAAGGAAATCATATCAAGAACAAGCTGAGCAAATAACACACAATAACTCAAAAATGCAGTTGATAGCATACAAAGGTCAAATCAATAACTCATAGACCTCCCCACATATACAGTTTAGACCAGAATGGAGTAAGTAGTACAAATGACTTATGTGTGTAAAGTATCACTAATCCAATGCAAACATGACTCCAAACCTTAATTTTGTGAGAAGAGATATAGTAATCATTGCCAATTGGTGTATTCTCCTACTAATGAAAGACAAACCTTATAACGTGTAGTAGGACCTATACTAATTACTTTTTTTTTTCTCCCCCTTACTTTGAGCATTTATATTTTTCAAATTTTCACAATTTCAACTCATCAAATTTTCACATTTTTCATATTTTTCAAGCTCACTTATTATTATTATTATTTTTTTTTATCTTAAGTGCAGATTCTTCTTCATTAGGTGACTAAAATGACCCCTGTAGCCAGCTTTAGGCCGGCTAACCTAAGTTAGTTGACCATAGGTACTAGGTTTTAAGAGACCTCGTAGGCTTAATTACACGAGTCAAATAGGCCCCGAAGAAGAACATTAAAATATGAGCTTATTTTCATACGGAGATTATTTTCGGGATTAGGTCTACTAAATATTTGTCAATTCATGTTCAAGTCACCCTA